ATTCCGAGAGGAGTCCCACCACCCCTCGTACCTGCCCAAAAGGCAATGCTAGACTATCTGTTTTGTATTACTTGTTATGGATACAGTATAATGTAATTTTAATAAAAATTAGGGTCTGAAGAAATCGCTGCAGTAAGTTGCTCGGGTCGGAGATTTGTTTGTGTGTCTCTGGATCATGGCTGTGCGGGAGCTTAAGTAGCCGGTGGCCGGATGTGGCATCATCTCGGAGTCATATTGGGGTCGGGGTGGGCGGCAGGGGGGAGGAGAGACTCTTTGGTTTTTATTTCATTTTTGTTGTTGTCGTCACGGTAAAAAGAGGAAATACACAGGTCTGTCAGAGTGCAAATAGTTTTATGTTTAAGGGGTAATATTTCTCTACCACACCCGGCTCCAAAGTGCCAGTATTCTCTCTACCACTGTCCACTGAACCCTTTCAGCCCCCACCAGTCCCCTTGGGAATCCCAGTTCTGGGGTCAGTCTGAGGGCTTGTTTTCATCGGACACCTTCTGTTCCCCTGCTTCCGTTACTCTGTATCCCAGATTTGAGCGGGGATCAGCCAATGTTTGTCTTCCTCCTTCTTACTTATCTGACTTAGTGGGACCCCCCCCCACCTCCTCCAGTTCCACCCATATTGTGGCAGAAAGGCAAAACTTGATCTTTGCTTAGAGCTGAGTGCTGGTCCACGTTGGTATGGAGTCCAGCTCCTTGATCCACAAGCTGGCCATCGGGGCACCAGGGGTGTTTGCGCATCTTGACTTTTGTAAATAGCACTGCGATGTACACAGATGTGCTTCTTCCTTTTGCAAGTGGATGTTTCTCTGTTCTTGAGAGAAATGAACCCCGGGAGTGGAACAGATGGCTTGTACGGTTGTTCTGCTTTTCATTTCTTTTGAAAAACCACCACGCCATTTTCCACAGAGACTGGGCCAATTTGCATTCCCTCCAGCAGGGAATATGGGATCCGGAAGGACCTTTCCTGTAAGGTCCACAGACTCTGTCTCAAGGACAAGTCACGTAAACTCAGGATAGGGAAGCCCACTTCAGCATTCTTCTGAAGGTCTGGGAAATAGATACTTTGCCATCCCATAAGGGAGGAAAGTGAGGTGCTCCCAGTTCACTGCATTCACGGACCGAGTGCGAAAGAGTGAGAATTGAATCCTGCTGAGAATGACATTCAAGTTTAAGGAAAGGAAGAGGAGATGGACTTGAAGAAACCGAGACACCGAATAAAGACTTGAGTACGGAGTTTGTGGAGGAGCGGGGTCTTCTGCCTGGTGCCGGCAGCGTGTGCTTAAACACCTCACACTCTTGATCTCTGGGCTTCTCCAGAACAGGCAGGAGATTCTAGAGTAATCACTAAACTTCCTGGTAATCACTTGGAAGCTCAGATCGGCTGCAGTGATCCCGGAGTGCATTTAGCTGGAACTGAATTGAGGAAACGGCAGAGAACTAGGAAAACAGGCACATTGAATAAAGTCCTTTTCCACCCCTTCAGGGTTATGTAAATACACTTTTTGTGTTTCATCTTCTTGGGAGATGTTTTTATTATTCTACACACACACCGGCTGAGGGCACCTGGGGCGTGGAGCAGTTCTTTCAGGTTGTTCGGTAAATGGGAATGCGATACTGTGTGTTTCCCTTATTATAGCTATCCTGCACTCACACATGCATAAGAATGTTACTATTCAAGGTTTTTCTTTTCTAAACTAGCTTATTAGAATAAACAGGAGGTTGAGAGGGCATTGTTGCCTTCCCTGCTGCTACTCAGGATAGCCCCTGGCTTTAACACTTCTTATTCACTCGCTGATATAATCACAGCTCTTTGGGTGTTAGCAGAAGTCATCTCTCTGCGCACCCAGGGGCTTTCCTGGGAGTGGAGGAGAAGGATGCAGTGGTGAAAGTACTTTTGATCAGAGCTAGATCTCATAGTTCCTGGGCTTTTAAATCACAGAGGTTAACTAATAATACACATCCTCCTCCAACCCCATATAGACAGTTAAGCAGTTCCATATCCTATCGGCTGGCATGGGAGGTCTGAGATAATAGTTATTTTTAATGAATTTATTCATCCATTCATTTTTACATCCATTATCTACTCACCTCTCTTCATCAATGTTTTTAAAACATTTTCTTTCTCTTTTTTTGTAAAATGGAATTCCTTTTATTGAATCACTATGAGATACACAGTTACAAAGCTGTTCATGATTTCAGCCAGACAATATTCCAACACCTATGCCTCCCTGACCACCAATGTCCCCAGCTTCCTTCCTGCCCCCCACCCCAGTCTTCCTTCTATGGCTTCCTCTTTCCTTCTCTCCTCTCTCCTGTCTCTCTGTCTCTGTCTCTCTCTCCTCTGTCTCTGCCTCTGTCTCTGTCTCTCTCTCCCACTCTCTCTCCTCTTAGGCATTATGGCTTGCAATACAGGTACTGACAGATCAAGTTCCTTTTTTTTCTTCTTTTATATTTTGGATCACACTTGGCAATGCACAGGGGTTACTCCTGGCTCTGCACTCAGGAATTACCTCTGGCAGTGCTCAGGGGACCGTGTGGGATGCTGGGAATCGAACCTGGGTCGGCTGACTGCAAGGCAAACGTCCTACTTGCTGTGCTATTGCTCTAGCCTCTAGAGCACTACTTTCAGCACTCTTCATCTATGTTTATCCGTCCATCATCTATCTGTTCATCCATTCATCCATCCATCCACCCATCTATCCATCATTTATTCATCCCTCCATTCATAACATCCATTAATCCGTCATCCGTCCGTCTTTTATCCATCAGTCATCTATGTGTTCATCTGTTTGTCCTTCAGTTCATCTCTTCATCCATCTACACATTCACCGGTCATCACTCTCCTGGGCCCCAGGAGTCTTAAGACTATTCACCAAGGAAACATAATCATCACATCAAAAGTTTCAAACAAATTCTACAGCTGGGTGGGTAGAATCGAATGCCCAGGAACCCTCTGCCTCAGGAGAGGTGATCAGTAGAATCGGCTGAAGTCATCTCAGAATGAGACTGATGAGGGAGGGTGGAGTGAGCATGGGTGGATAGAACAGTGGTAGGGATACTTTTTTTTTTTTAGTTTCTGATTCACACCTAGTGGTGCTCAAGGCTACTCCCTACTCCTTGCTTGAGGTCGGCTGATATTAAACTGAATCAGCATCTAGGCTGAGGATGACTCAAGCCAACAAAAAGAAGGAAGGAGGAGATGGCTTAGACTGTAGATAACTGATTCAGGCAGATAGGGCTGAAATAGCAGATTAAAGAATCCTGCATTGGGCTGGAGCTAGAGTGCAGCAGGGGTGGTATTCTCCTTGCCTGCGGCTGACCCGGATTCAATCCCCTGCATCTCCGATGGTCCCCCAAGCCTGCCAGGAGTGACCCCTGAAGGCAGAGCCAGCTGTACCCCAACATACGTCACTTCTAAGCAAAGAACCAGAGTAACCCCTGAGCACTGCTACGTTTGGCCCCAAATCTAAAAAGGCCCTCCCGTTGATCGTCGATTTGCTCGAGCGGGCCCAGTAACGTCTCCATTGGAGACTTTGTTGTTACTGTGTCTGGCATATCGAATACTCTCGGTAGCTTGCCGGGCTCTCCGAGAGGGGCGGAGGAATCGAACTCGGGTCGGCCATGTTGGCCGCCTGTAAGGCGAACGCCCTACCCGCTGTGCTATCGCTCCAGCCCCAAATCAAAAACAAATAAAAAGAATCCTGTGTATAACAGTGAGAGCAAAACCCTTCACAATGGATTATAAAACTGAGAATACCAGGTTGGGGGTTACAGGGAGAAATAAAGAGTTGGACTGAAAGTAACATTATGACATTGGGGTAGGTGGGGGCTCTTGGGCATTTTGGTGGTGACAAGGTGAGGTAAGCATGGGCACCGAAGCCGTAATTGTCTACAATATTGTAAACAGAGGAACTAAAGCGTAATAATACAACTTTTTAAGAAACAGCAGTGGAGGGTCATGTGCAATTTTGGTGGTGATGCAGTGACATTGTAAATCAAACTAAAATCTTTAACCGTGGTACCAAAGCTATAAAATTCTTTGATAAAATAAATAAAAATAAATCAGGGTCTATTGAGCTGGAGCGATAGCACAGTGGGTAGGGCATTTGCCTTGCATGCAGCCAACATGGCTGACCCGAGTTCAATTCCTCCAGCCCTCTAGGAGAGCCCGGCAAGCTACCGAGAGTATCTCGCCCGCACAGGAAAGCCTGGCAAGCTACCCACGACGTATTCGATATGCCAAACACAGTAACAAGTCTCATGATGGAGACGTTACTGGGCCCGCTCGAGCAAATCGATGAACAACGGGAGGACAGTGACAGTGACAGGGTCTATTTAAAAAAAAAAAAAAAGCTCTCCTTGGGCCAAGGAAATAGTTACATGGGCTGAATCTGTTTTGCACAAATGGAGCTTGGGTTCCATCCTGACACCCTATAGTCCTCCGTGAACTCCCAGGAGGAACCAATCTCCAAACAGAACTGGAAATAGTCCCAGAGCGCTACTGGGTATGGCTACTCTCCAGCTTCCCCTTCCCCAAAGGACTCATGTTCGTAGTGTGAGACTTCACGATTGTAGCACTGTAGCACTGTCATCCCGTTGTTCATCAATTTGCTGGAGCAGGCACCAGTGTTGTCTCCATTGTGAGACTTTGTTGGTACTGTTTTTGGCATATTGAATACACCATGGGGAGCTTGCCAGGCTCTGCCATGTGGGTGGGATAGTCTCGGTAGCTTGCCCGGCTCTCCGAGAAGGAGGAAGGAATCGAACCCGGGTCGGCTGTATGCAAGGCAAACGCCCTACCCGCTGTGCTATCGCTCCAGCCTGAGACTTCACCACATTGATGCCAGTTAGCACGTCCTTCAAAGCCGGCCCCTGAGAAGCACTCGCAGTGACCACAGCCTCTAGGAGAAGAGTGTGTGTCCTGGGCCCGCATCCACAGACCCACGTGATGTGACTTGGCATTTGAACTTGACATTCTCTGTCCACAGGGCAGCAGGTCCTGGGCCTGGTGGAGAATCAGAGTGACTGGTACCTGGGCAACCTATGGAAAAACCACCGCCCCTGGCCCGCTCTCGGACGGGGCTACAACACAGGTAAGGGTTGGTTGGTTTGTCTTCTGGGACTGGGTTGGCATTCAGTGGGCAGTGCAGGTCAGAAGCGGTGGCCTTCCAGTTTTGGGAGCTGTGACTGCAGACCTAGCAGCTCTGATGCTTTGGCGGCCTGTGGCCAGCTCGTCAAGCCCTTGTCCTAAGAGACCCCGAGTCCTGGATCCCAGGGGCGTCCCACTGACCTTTCAGGGCCTCAACAGACACCTTCAACCTAATGCTTCCTGTCCTAACGTGGGAGCAATGGCGTCACCTCTGTCCATTTTCAGCCTGAACTCCGAGTTCCCTGCGGAAGTTCGGGATTCAGAGCACATTCCCGCTCACTCGTGCTCCGTTTCCATGACCTGATTCCTCCCGGTATCTCATTGACTGACGTGGCATTTCTCAACTTGCTGGTAGGGGTGAGGGTGAGGGGGGTGTTGTAGATATAGCAAGCTCCTCACCCAGATTATCCCAAGAGGACCACGGGTGCAAAACACATCCATAGGGACCCTGAGTACGAGACTGGGGCCCATCCGGTAGGACAAGGAGGTCATGGGAAGGAAGCCAGGGTGGAAGGAGGCCTCGATGGGAGAGAGGTTGAGAGGTTGAGAGCGTGTCCGTGAGGATTTATGGGCTGTCCTCTCCCACGGTGGGGCTTGGGGGACAGTTGTTTTTAGTCTTGGGTTGTGCTGCCTTTCTGTAGGTGAGCCCACCGCACCTGTTGCTGCTGGTGGAAGCAGTCGGTTCTGCTGTAGGGAGCTTCCCTCCCCCAATCCCAGCATCTCCTAAACCAGCCCCTCCACCACCCCCACCCCAGGACGTCCAATAAAGCTTCACCTTGAGCCTTCAGCATGGTACTAGGCAGCGGGTGGGAGGACCTGGGGTGGGAGCACAGTTTGTTCAGACTTGTGGGCTTGGCCAAGCTCCTTGTGCCTCCACCCCTCCTGCTCTTGGAGCATGAGGTAGGAGCAGCCCAGGTGTGTAAGGACAAACGGAACTGGATGAGCCTGAGACATCTGTAAGAACTTTGCAAGTGGCATCCACACCATATGCATTTTTTTCTTTACTTTTGCTTTTGGGCCACGTCTGGTGATGGTCAGGGGTTCTTCCTGGCTCTGCACCCAGAAATCGCTCCTGGCAGTGCTCTGGGGAGATCCTATGGGATGTTGGGGTTCGAACCTGGGTTGGACATGTACAAGGCAAGCTCCCTCCCCCCCGCACAATTGCTGCATGCATTTTCCCCACCATGCATTCTACTCGAGGTTGAAGTCCTCCTGTTTGAAAGACATCTGTTCAGCTTCCAAACCCAGGGCTCGAAAGGAACCAGGACACTCTCCCCCCTTCTCTTCCAGATATAAGGCGGAAACCTGGCAGCTGTTCATCCCTTAGCTCTCCATGTTCTTTGAGGGCAGACAGGAGGGGGTTGGGGTTGGGGTAGGGAGGGTGGATGGGATGAACTAATGTTAGTTCAGCCCTCATCTGCCCATGTTTGACTTCGAGCATGCCCAGAAAAATGCCCAAGATGGGTGAGTGAGAAGACAGTCTTCAAGCCCTGACTGCTCCAATGATGCTTCTCTTCCCAGTGGGGGAGAAACTTGGCTGTTAGGCACCGGTGTTCCATCCTAGACCTGGGATTCTCTTGGTAAACAGTTGGCTGAGTGAGTTAAAGGAGTCCTGGCCTCCCTCCCTTCTGCCCTGTTCCCCAGAGAGGAGGGGATCCCCCTCCTCCTCGGTTTACTCATGGCCAGAGTTTAAAAGACTGTTGGTGGGTTTGGAAGGTTTCACCCCGAGTCTAGATTTGTTCTAGAGGCAGGAACTGGATGTCAGAGCACTGGTCCCCGGGCTTGGAACCCTCCTTACCTCCCCCTACACACACATACACACACACACACATACACACTCACACATACACACACGCACACACGCATGCGTGCAAATACGTTACAAATAGTCACTGGTCCCGGGGAGCACTGTGGTGAGAGTTCTGTGCCAGTGGTGTGAGGGAGTTGGAGGATGCCCACCCAGGAGACGTGGGTGAAGGTTCAGAGTCTGGAGGGCTGGAGGTGGAAGTAAGGAGGGGTGCAGCTCCAGGCCAGCAGGATGGCCCTGGGGTAGGCAGGGGATGGGGGACCACAGAGTCTGGCCAGGGGGCAGTGCTTTGGTTCTGCTTGTGAGTCTCCGCAGAGAGAAGAGAGAAACCCAGTCCTCCCCCCTGCCCATGTCCTGGAACCCACAGGGGCATGCTGCAGGTGACTTATGTGACATGGGGAAGGAAGAGAGAGAAGGGAGCTTATCGCTTCCCTCTCTGCCAAGGGAGAGCCTGAGGGAAATCTAGGACTGATGGAATTTTGCAACGAGCCCCTGCACACACAGTACAGAGCTCATGCCGCCCCAGCCCCATGAGACAGCCGGCACACTGCACCGGAAGTCCATGTTTTTTTCTGCACGGCGTGGGAAATAATACCTGTCACTTGAGTGAGTCCCCCTACTCGAAGGCTCAGAAAGAGAGTGAGGAATTGCTCTTTGCAGGAAAGTCGGTTCCTAAATTTTATGCAAGCTTTTCAAGTCCGTCGCCTTGCCCGTGCAGTAAAAGAGTTTCAGGAGAACAAACGTGAAGTCAAAAGAGTTTTCTCTGGTGATTCTAAAGGAGGAATCAGAGCACTAAGAGTCCACTCCTCAGGTGGAGATGCAGAGCACACTTAACCTTTGCAGAGCTGCTTTTAGAGGTTTCTAGCTAGAGAAGCTTCCGAGGCTATGGCATTGGCAAGGGGAAGGTCTTGAAACTTTCAGTGGCCTTGAAACTTCATGTCCTTATCACAGTTCTTTCTCTCTGCTGAAGTTTGTCCGCTCCTACACAGGTCCAGCTTCTGCTAAGCCAACACTGATGCCCGTCAGAGTCTTTATCAAGGCCTCAGTTTCCATGTCTACAAAGTGGGACTGAAAATAATGCTTTCAGCTGCTTGAGTGACTCCTTCAAATCCCATCTTGGTTTTATTACGTTCCGAGCACTCATTGCCAGGGGGGACCCCCTGTCAACCTGTCTGCATCGGGCTCAGGGTCCAAACACCCCACTTTCCTTCACAACATGTGCTCCAGAGACGCCTTGGTTGGGGCGCAGTGACGGGGGGACGCGACTGTCCTTGGTCTGCAAACGAGAGTGCCAGTCCCCACTCCCAATGCCCACAGGATTCGGGGCAGGGAGCCAGCCTCACCAGCATGAAACACTCAGTCACTTCTGTCCATTTCCTGTTCGGCACATGGTAGCACTGTCTGCCCATTGTTCATCGATTTGCTCGAGCGGGCCCAGTTATGTCTCCATTGTAAGACTTGTTATTACTGTGTTTGGCATATCAAATACGTCATGGGTAGTGTTAGGATGCGGATCGTGATCTCCCTGTAACGACAAAGAGACTCCAGAGACTGCAAATAGCAAGCGAGGTTTATTGTGAGACTGGCTAGTCAGGGTCGAGCCACTTACGCAGACACACAGGTCAGGCAGGATGGGTGAGACCCTGAGCTTCTTCAAAGGGGATCTTATATAGGCCTTCACCGGCTGTTACAGCAGAGCCCCCACATGTCATAGCCAATAGATTTGTAACAACATATACTTTCTTAACCAATCCATTTACAAGTACATCACTCCTTAGCCTATTGATTCAGAGATCAGCATTAACGTACATAAGCATTGTGGCTAGCCGGTGTCTCATAACTCAAACATCTGGTTATCTTCCATGTCTGCCCGGCTCCCTGTGATTTACAGCTCAGGACACCTGCATTCCGGTAGAGATGGGTAAGGGAAGAGTTACTAGTTGACGGGCAGATAAGGAAGAGTGAACAGTGGGTTTACATCCCAATTAAGAAGAGTCAACAGTGGAGACAGAATTTACATATCAGGGCTCTACTAGGGAGGGGGAGGATTTACATCTCAAGGCTTTACTAGGGAGGGGGCAGATAAGGAAGAGTTACTAACAGAGCTTCGCTCTGGAATATCCCTCCGGGTCTCACGGGACCTTACAGGTAGCTTGCTAGGCTTTGCCATGGGGGCGAGGTACTTTTGGTAGCTTGCCGGGCTCTCCAAGAGGGATGGAGGAATCGAACCTGAGTCGGCCATAACTTTAAAAAAAAAAATTAATGTGTTTTCTAGTTTTGTTTGTTCGACTTTATTTTTAAAAATTGAGGGTCACATGTGGCTGTGTTGAAAGCTTACTCCTGGCTCTGTACTCAGAGGTCACTTGCTACGAGTATGGGGCCGGGGAGGGGGGCGCACAGGGCATTTAGGGTAGAGAAGGGACCGTGACGATAATAGTTGGAAATGATCACTCTGGGCAGGAATTGAGTGTTAAAGTAGAGATATACGTGATAACCTTTCAGTATCTGTATTGCAAACCATAATGCCCAAAAGAAGAGGGAGAGAGACAGAGACAGAGATGGGGTAGAAAAGAACCTGCCATAGAGTGATGGGGGGTGAGAGATGCAGGAGGGAAACTGGGACCCTTGGTGATGGGAAATGTGCACTGGTGAAGGGATGGGTGATGGAACATGACCAACTCTATAACTGTATCTCACTGTGATTCAATTAAAAAATAAATAATGTTATTTCAAAGGAGGTCACTCCCTGGGAGGGCCATATGGGGCACCGGGGGGTCAAACCCGGGTTGGCTGCATGCAAGGCAAACACCCTACCCCCTGTACTATCTCTCTGGCACAATGGTATGTGTGCAAACATGCATGCGTGTGTGTGTTTAGGTGTGTGCATGCATGCATATGTGTGCATGTGTGTGTCTGCACTTATGTGCGTGCATGCATGTGTGTGAGTGTGTGCACATGTGTGTGTCTGCGCTTATGTATGTGTGTGCACGTGTGTGTCTGTGCTTATGTGTGAATGTGCATGCATGTGTGTGTGCATGTGTGCATGTGTATGTCTGCACTTATGTGTATATGTGTGTGCATACATGTGTGTGTACACACGCATGTGTCTGTGCTTATGTATGTGTGTGCATGTGTGC